GGCTCGAGTTGATGCGAGAAAGTTCAATTTTGGTTTCATCTGACCACAGCACAATCTGGCAAATTTAAAGACAGGCCTGTACTGTACATGTGCCTTCTATGTTAGCAGATGAAATCAAAATTGCCTTCAAATTCAAGTCTTGCTGTGTACTTTGAGGCTTTCTCATGATCACCCTCAGTCTACAAGGCTGGACGATCTTGCACAAAGTTTCAGACAAAAGGGCAGCTGATGCTTTTTGTGTGCTTTCCTCTTGAGAAGAATGGCGTTCATAATTTTGCACCTTTCAGTCTTTTGTTGATATTTTGTAAGTCATTGCAACTTTGTGCATGTCCCTGGCATCTTTTGACATCTTTTAATCTTGCCCGTGGCGGAATAGAGATTGGAATACCAAAAAAATGGGTTCCTCAAACACATGTGCTTTCTATACATGACCAGTCAAGGACACAAACTAATCTGTGGGACCCGCAATTTTGGTTTAGTTGTAAGGGAGCAACTCACTAAAATGCACCCCATTTTATGACATTCACACCGCATGTCTTTTACCATAATCAATAAACAGTCATCAGAATTAATAAGTGAGCAGACTAGCAAATTCAGCAGGGGTCAATGAATAATTCCTCATTGTAAATCGCTTGATATTTGAAATGACTCGCTGGCCTATTATTTGCTGTATTTTCTATATAAGTGCAAATGAGGAAATATGTTTTCACATTCACAATGAAAATCCTTTGCAAGATGTTGCCTCGGTAGCAATCGAGGTCACTTTGCCTGCTCTGGCATCAATACGCAGATAAACAACATTTCTGAACTTCAACCTCCAAAAAGCCAACACTTTGCAGCGGCGCTGTCAAAAGGATTACGAGCGACATTTCTTCTTTACCCACACATATACACCCGCACTGAATGGGCAGGAGGGGGTGGGGGGTGCGGCTGCTAATGCCTCCCTGTGATGCAATGTCATGTTCAGTCTTTTAGCAATCCAATCGGTTTCTCTGTTGGAGACAAAGAGATTCCTTTTTGGAGGGGAATTTGATTTTTTTTTCACAAGCGCTAAAAAAATGCTCCTTTCTGTTCAGAAAGTAGTCATAAGAAGAATGCTAAATAAGCCCCCATATATATACTGTAAGAAATAGGCGCTGATGCTGCACCTTTAGCTTGCCTCTGGGAATGAATGAGCAAGTAGCTCTTTTCATCAAATGTAAATATTAATTAATTGGACTGCATTTACAGGAAGCTCTGCTGATCTACCCCCTTTTCTGGCAAAAAAAAAAAAAGGCTCTCATTAATGTGTGTACTATGTGGCATAATGAGACGTTTCATTCTCAATTAAAGATAAAGAAAAAGAAAATGTCTTGCAGAAACACTTAAAAGCCGCTTGTTATTTTGGTGCTGAAATGTTTGGTGGACAATTAACTGTTTTGTTGTAGCACCAGATTCCTTAGTTATTACCGGAAAATGAGCAAAGACCTTACAATTACTTTTTGTCTGAAATAGATATGAAACTATGCAACCCATGAAATTCAAAATTATACAGAGAAAACCAAACTTCCCTACTTCTTATGAATACAGATTTTATGTCTATATGCGTTTATATTTGACGTCAAATATCGCTATTTGTGTCAGGTCAGCAAGACGGGTGCCGAGGGAGCCGTACTGGATGAGGCCAAGAACATCAACAAGTCTTTGTCGGCCCTCGGCAACGTTATCTCGGCTTTGGCTGACGGAACGGTACGGCTGGAGAACTCTTCTTTCACATTAAAAATATATAAAAGGGGCTACTTCTTGTTTGAATTCTTAGAATAATGTTTTTTTTTCCCCCCACATGGTTCAACACCCTTACAATGATGGCCATGCAGGGCATCCATTTTGACTCAAGTTGAAGTTACTCAAATATGGTACTTGCCTACTTACCTGAAAACAGTTTCCATATCATAGAGATGCATTATAGGCCTGTACCGTACATGTATATGGTAATAATTACACATTTTGCTTTTCTTTGAAGTTTTCTGCTCCGCTGATAGTTGTCAAGTAACCGCACTCATATTCAAAGCAGTAAGCAGCCAAATCAAAACAATGACAAAAAAAAAATCGCCATAAAACAAAATACGAAAAATAAACCCGTGATTCTCAAATTGTAGCACAAGGGCCACTATATGGTACTAAATAAGTACATAATATTTCACTGAATGAAATGTTCAAGCGATGCGAAATTTTACAGCGGCTTCAAATGTTATTTTTTTTTAAGTTCCGTGTATGTTTGCGACAGTTCAGTTGTATTTAAGTTTTAAAAACAACACATTTGCATCAAGTCATTTAGACTTTTTTTAAACATTTATTTACATGGCCCTCCATAATTATTGGAAACTTTGATGAAGATGTGTTATTTTAGTTAAAAAATTTAAAAAAAAAAGGAAAATCCAATACATCCAATGTAATTAATTCAAGTGCATTTACTAAGCGGGGAAAAAAATACATTCAGAAATAATTGTTTTATATTAGTGCATTTGTGCCACAATTATTAGCAGGCCTGATGTTAATACTTTGTACGCGCAACCCCCTTTTGTCAGCAAAACAGCATCTAATCTTCGCCAAGAATGTTTCACATGATGGGAAAATATAGAAAAAGGGATCTTCCACCATTCCTCTTTGCACAATCTCTCTAAATCATTCAGCGACCTTGGTCCTCTCCTCTGCACTCTCCTCTTAAGCTCACTCCACAAGTTTTCAGTGGGGTTGAGGTGTGAGGACTGAGACGGCCATGGAAGGAGCTTAATTCTGTGACTGCTGGACCATTTCTACAATTTTCCATATGAGAGTGTGTTTCGGCAATAAAAATGAATTCATATGAAGGATTTTAACAAATCTTAACCAGGGATGCCAATAGGCGGGGCACTGTAGGTACAATTTTGTGTTACCTTTTATGTGCAATACAATTTAATCATTGCTCAAGTTTTTTTATTTTCATTTTACAATACTTAAGCGAGAGCGGCATGATGGTCGACTGGTTAGCACGTCCGCCTCACAGGACAGAGGTGCAGGTTTCAATTCCGGCTCCAGCCTTGCTTTGTTTGACATGTTTTGCATGGGGTTTCTCTGGTTTCCTGCCACATTCCAAAAACCAGCATGGCAAAAGTGCAGTCTATCGACAGCTGTCTATTCTTAAGTAGCAATCATTTTTCCTAAGTAGTATTCTCAACTATTCAAGATTACACTCTCCATCTACTTATCTGTCGCTTTATTGTCTTCTCATTTAAACGCATAACCGACATCGCGTTTAATTACTATTTGTGCCGCTATTGGTGAGCTAAACTGTTGAGCAAACTTAGCTTGCAAAGCTTCACGCAGCTGGCTTACCTGCATCGTATATGTTGTGACTCTTATCTCCCAGTTTCAAACCTTGCGTGTTGCTCTTGTCTTTTTCCTGGTTTCATTAAAACGTTAATCCTTGAATGCACTTGCTCAATTAGTCAGCCTAGTGATGGCGCTCAATGCTGACATGACACAAAAAAACAAACAAAGAAAAAAAACAGTTTTTTTTCAAAACAAAAGGCACATTGGATTTAAAAAATATATTTTAAATGTAAACAGAATGACATGCTAAGTCTTGAGTTCAAGTCAAATTCAAGTTGAATCTTTCATTAGTTGTCGCCCAGCATGTCAAAAAATGTGTCTTTCGTCAGTTCGAGTCCAAGTCATATGACTCGAGGCCCCCATAACTGCTTGTCTTTAATTGTTCTGACTCTCACTACGTATGTTGCTGGCATCGATAAATAAACCAAGACTCAGCATTTTTCGTAAATAAATAATAGATGATGAAGAGTGAAATTGTATGATTTACCACAGCACACCGAATGATGTCTCACAGCACAGTGGTTGGGAATTATTGACCTCAACGACTGCGTTAGTTTAGGGCATTTTTGTTGGTTTTCAATGGGGGGGGGATGCTCAAAATGTGTCATTTTTGTAGCTTTGGCATTTCAGGCAAATTTCACAAACATAGGTAACAATTCTAATTAAAAGAAAATCCATACCATTTTTTGAAAAGAAATAAAATGCAATGTAAAAAAACTGAATGGATGGTTGGCACAAAATGTGTCTTTGGCACTCTTAGACGGAATCCTCTCTATTCATTCCCTCCCATCTTTGCAGAAGTCCCACGTGCCGTACCGCGACAGCAAAATGACACGCATTTTACAGGATTCACTGGGGGGCAACTGTCGCACCACCATGTTCATCTGCTGCTCGCCCTCCAGCTACAACGATGTCGAGACCAGGTCCACGCTCATGTTTGGCCAAAGGTAACAAACAACAACCAGCAGGCCTGCCGCTTCTCGCTTGGCCGCCCATTTGACATGCTGCTCGCATGCGATTGCCTCCAAAGCTTTTGGAATAGCTGATCATCGGAACGTGGCTCAGGTTGTTAGGAGAGCATCTCGCTCTTTATCCTGCCTGTTGTAAGAGTACTCTGCCTGTGACATTGAGGAAATTGTGCACCTTTCATGCTCTGAAAAGTTCTAAATGTGTTTGTGCTAGCTTTATACAATACGTAAAGCAGCAATAAGTTACGATGACAACTGTTTAGCTTACCCCGCGGGTGTGTGAAGGAATATCGACTGTAGTTGCCAAGTTAAATTCACATGAGATGAGAGTAAGTAACAATGTGCAAGTCATTAGTTAGTCTCAAGTAAAAAAAGGGGAGATTGTCATAAAAAGAAATCCCTTTGTCATATTTCATTCATTGAAAAATATAAACCATGGAAAAAAAACTCACACTAATCTCTGGACGCATTTTGTTTTCCTAATTTGATATACAAAAGCTCATCACACCCAATGAGAAATAACAACTCAGAGATTGAAGGCGAGACTTGAGGTATCAATTATTTGTCACACACTTGCAGGCTTACTCATCGCAGGGACACTCCTGCGGCCTAGTGCCTACCCGTTACCTTTTTACCTCAGAAAAGCACCTTGTCCGTAATAGTGTTAACACTAAGAGCTGTATTTTGATAGACAGCGCACATGTGCTTGGGCATAAAAACTGTCGCATCTTGATTTTCATGCTGTAAGATTAGTTTAGCATTTTAGGAAATTTGGCAGACTGCTGCACCATGCTGGGCATTCCGGTGGACCGAGGGTGTTTTTTTTGCCACGCCATAGTCGCATCTGAGCAATTTGGTGGCTGAAAGTAGAGTAAACTTTCGACCTGCTATAAGCAGGTCTAAGTTGTGGCGCAGGTTGTGTAATGTGATTTTGACGGATTTGATCGAGGAGCAGGGAGAGAGATTCTGTGTGGTCTTTGTCATTGTATTTCATTCATTTCATTCATGGACAAACTGTCTAGGCGGTCTCCTAGTTGATACTTGGCAGCAGCCAACTTTACATCATACACAAATGGAGACCTTGAAGTTCCTTATAAATGTACTTTGGGCATGTCTATCTCCTGCATGGACTCCAGCGAGTCCGTTTCTGCTTCCGCCATGCAGATCATGTGCCTCTCCTGCGCTGAGTTTAAATGGAAGGAGAGTAGCCACTTCCTTTGGCTGACAGGCAAGGTGGCTGTGTTCACTCCCACAATGGCACAAATGCCCGTTTTTATCTGCGGGCATCTACAAAAACACCAAAAGAAAGAAAACTTCACCCATGCTCAATTAAACTGCGCTTTGTGCTAGAGTTGCACGAGGCACAAACATATAACGCTCAATGTTATTGGTTAGACATTTTTTTGTTTGTCTGTGATAAGCCAAGTCAGCCTGTGAATGTGTGACAAATGAAACAAACGACTCACAAGTAAAGCCTTCTGTCTCAAATTGGTTGTTTTCTTCAGGCGCAGTGGTTTCTTGTATAATCAATTTGTCACAATTTAAGGATGGCCAGGAACTCCAGAGACCCAACTATTTGTATACAAACATTAAAAAGTCAATATTCCATAATAATTCGGCTTTATCTGCAAGTGTCTCCTATTCTCGCCCCTATTAAGTACTGGTAGTTGTTTATGAATCTTGAACCGGCTGTGTTAAACATTCTCACAGCCAACTTTTTTTTTTGTTCTCTTCTCGGCATGCACCGTCAAACACGGCGGGCAGAAAGCCAATTTGCATGCTAATTAATGCCAAGCTAGCTAATTTTAATTGAACAGCTCAAGCTGGAATAGCTTTTCTCTTCTGTTCTCCTCTGATCTTCTATTCTCGCCCCACTCCATCCCCTTTCCCCCCTGATTTTTTTTTTTTTTTTTTTACACCATCTATCCATCCAATTAGGGCAAAAACCATCCGAAACACTGTGACAGTGAACCTTGAGCTCACAGCCGAGCAGTGGAAGAGGAAGTACGAGAAGGAGAAGGAGAAGAACAGGTCACTGAAAGAGACCGTGCACAGACTCGAGGCTGAGTTGAGCTGCTGGAGGAATGGTAATACTAGACTCATTTAACATAAAAAGCATCACATTTCTCCTGTAATGTTAAGGAATGGGAAATGTGTGCCCATTTGATAATGTACAATGAAATAGTTCTTTTCACATCATATTCCTTAGGGATCATCTTGGCCATGACACTGGTTTATATATGGAAAAACATACTGCACTGTTAAAACTGCTGTGTAAACCAAATTGGATGAAATAGCTAAGCCAGGGCTGGGTCCGAGAGAGATTGAGCCACTGTTGGGTTATTTATAGTGCATTGGGTTGAGGATTTGACTCAACACATCAGACAAGATTTTGATCCAAGAACGGGGCAAAACTACCCATATTGATGAGTTCAGCATTGTGAGAAATGGTTTACGGAGTCACTGTGGTAAAAAAAAAAAAAAAAACGCATTTTGCTACCAAGATTTTCTAAGAAGAACCAACTTGGCACAGTAAATCCCTCGCATGATTTGTTTGGCTCTTCAGACTGCCCAAACTTCAATCCAATCTTCAACCCAATCTGCCGTGGCAAAACAAATGCCCCCACTTTTAGTAAAACTAACCCAATAGGCTCAAAAACCACAGCTATCAAGCTAGCGAGTTAGGAAAAGAATTCAGCATTTTTTTGTGTGTACCGGTAATATTATGTTGTAATAATGGAAGAAAAGATGCCATTGTCAGCCTCACTTCCTGGTTCTCCACTAATCACTAGCTGTTTTCTCTGAGGGACCTACAAAATTTCGGAACATTAACTCAACTGAACTTTCAAGTGATCCAAAGCTATCGCTTGTAATACCTACTCTGCTGCTAGTTATTCTGTTTTTTAATCCAAATTTAATGTCAAACTCTGCACACATTACATCACAAATGCAAAAAATAAAAATTAAAATTAGCAGCGCCCAGAAGCCAATAGAAGAGCTAAGTCAAGTCGCCCACACCAGAATGAGGAGCACAATTTGTGTTGAAGTAGAAGGTCTGACAACAACCGTTTCTTTTTAATTCTATTTCATTTTGTGATTACCATTTGTTTTTATGAAGTAGAGGATTATAGATTGCCATTTTTCTTCAAAAAACATCTTTAAAAAAATGTGTGTTGGTTTTTTTGGGGAGACTGGAACAGATTAATGACGTTTCCTTTCAATTCAATGAGCAAAGATGATTTGACATGTGAAATGAAATGTTTTGTATCTCAAAGCACCGCTTTAATTCATGAAACTGAAATTCTACCCATTAAAGCACTCCATGAATCTGAATGCTTTCTTTTACGACAGGCGGTCTAGTAAATTTGATCCGCACTGCATATAAAGACTGTGCTAAAGAAAATTTATTGGAGTGCCTGTCATAAAAAAACAAGAGAGCACCTTCCATCGAGCACCACCAACAAGTGCTTTCCTGCGGACTCTTCAATTATAGTGAGCTCGCTATGTTTTACCACCTTCAACAGGCGTGAACTCTGGCCTGCTTGAAATGTTGCCTTCTTACTGTGACTTTATGATATATGTTTAAGCTTCATAGAGCTGTACAGGTTAATCACTACATTGCCCCCACGGCATATCCCCCCCCTCCCCCATACGCACACACCACATGCACACAAACAGTCAAACTCAGTCTGCACTTTCATTTATTTCCACTCTCGCGTGAACACCTTTGACTTAAAATCAATGGCAGTGTGGAAGTCTTCAGTGGTAGTTAGCCTGGCTCGACATCTAGGTTGTTCAAGCAATGCTTTGCTTTCTTTCTACGCTTGAGCTGTTGTACACGTTTCATCTTTAAGCGTGGGAAGATTTAATCACCGTTACTGAAAGATAATCAGCGGCAAATTAATTGTATACAGTCATCGATATTCCCCACTGGCGTGTGTGTCAATGTCCTGAGTAGTTGTACATTATTCGTGTACGTTTTTAGAAAGTGGCAAGGACGAGCCAAATTCAATTTTCTCTAGTGCTTGTCTATAGTCTGTCCCAAGTGACTTTGGCTGAGAAAAATCACCATTGCCAGTCAAGTGGCATATCCATCCGTTCATTTTCGATAGTCCATGTCAGTCATGGAAAGAGTAGCCAAAACTTGTACTGAAGTAAGAGTGCTGCTACCTTAGAATATTACTCAAGTAAAAGTAAAAAAAAAAAAAAAAAAAAAAAAAAGAGTTCTCCAAATAATTACTTTGTAGTAAGAGTAAGATAGTAGTAACTGATGAGTGACTCTTGATTTGTTTATCTTATTTATTCAACACTTAAATACCAAAATAGACATCCATCCATCCATCCATCCATTTTCCGATCCGCTTTAACCTCACAAGGGTCACGGGGGGTGCTGGAGCCTATCCCAGTTGTCTTCGGGCAGTAGGGACACCCTGAACTGGTTGCCAGCCAATCACCAAATAGACAAATATGTAAAATAGGAATAAGTAAATGAAAATATTGTCTGTCTATATCATTTTATGACAAAATGTTTTTAAATAGGATTGAATAAGGCAAATTAATTCATACTTTAATTCTCACAACAAGCTCACCAGGCAGAGATAATGATTTATATAATCTTACAAAGGGAGGCCCGGTGATCTAGTGGTTGGCGCGTCGACCTCACAATGCAGAGGTTATGGGTTCGATCCCGGCTCCGGCCTTCCTGTGTGGAGTTTGCATGGTCTCCCCGTGCCTGCGTGGGTTTTCTCCGGGTACTCCGTCCTCCCACATTCCAAAAACATACATGGCAGGCTGATTGAACACTCTAAATTGTCCCGAGGTGTGAGTCTGAGCGAGGATGGTTGTTTGTCTCTGTGTGCCCTGCGATTGGCTGGCAACCGGTTCAGGGTGTCCCCCGCCTACCACCCGAGGACAGCTGGGATAGGCTGCAGCACCCCCTGCGACCCTTGTGAGGATAAAGCGGATCGGAAAATGGATGGATGGATTGATAATCTTATAAAATTGTATTATATTGGATTTCAACAGGTGGATTGTTATTTGGAAACACTGAGATCTGCTAATTGACATCTTTATCCTCAGTGCTATGCATACATTTCACGATGTGCTTTTTCATTGTGTTACTTATGTAAATGTAAGAGAGTAAATGTGGCTCGTAACTACCCACCTTTCGCGCTTGTCCGCATTTGAGTTGAGCTGGAGTCTCTCCCAGCTGACTTTTGGTGAGAGAAGCAGGGTCCACACTGGTCTGATTGCCAATTAAGGATATGGTGTTGTTTTTTTTTTATTATTTTTTTTTATGTGGCCTTTATCACAAACAATTCAGATTTTTTATGAGCATACCCTCAGTGTTATATTGTCTAGGAACGAAAAAAATATGTCGCAGAGAACGCCACCTTTTCATGGCAGCGGTAATAAATCACACAACCGACAGCATTTTTCTGCATATCTTATTTCTCCATGTCCCTTCCAGAAGAGGAGCACTTTTAATTTCCATAATGGATCATTTTGACAGCGTGTGAGGCTCCTCCCCAAATAAACATCATCCGTGTCTACTTTTGACCTCCATCGTCAAGCGTGTTGCTTAAAGTCATCCGTTGACCTGTTGCCTCTTATTGGATGTTCCCTCCTTCCACCCGAGGTGCATTGTCATTGCTATTGATCGCTTTGAGCGCATCTCACACGACGACTATCGCATCGATCGTCCAGACGGAGATCTGTCAACACGTGTGCCTCGAAAGAAGTAGGCCACAGCAAAGCGCTGCTGAAAAGGTGGCCCCAGTTACAACATTGCGAAAAGGGAAAGCTACACAATCATGAAGTGTACAAAAGCAAGCCATGAAAGCCTCTTAATGGCAATGGAGACTGCGACCGGCCGTTTCTCAGGAAGACAACACCAATGTGTCATGAAGGGTTATTGTGTGAATGCCGAGCAGTTAAATGTGAAGCGAAAGCATCAAAGTCAAGTCAAAGCAGCATTGATTTGCGAGGCCCCGTGGAAGTAACCTGAGCAGCTTATTTTACGAAGATGCCACGCCAAAAGTGTACAACTCACATCCATCCATTTTCCAATCCGCTTTATCCTCATAAGGGTCGTGGGGGGTGTTGGAGCCTATCCCAGCTGTCTTCGGGCAGTAGGCGGGGGACACACGGAACTAGTTGCCAGCCAATCGCAGGGCACACGGAGATGAACAACCATCCACGCTCACACTCACACCTAGGGAAAATTTAGAGTGTTCAATCAGCCTGCCATGTATGTTTTTGGAATGTGGGAGGAAACCCGAGTACCCACCCAGGCACAGGGAAAACATGCAAACTCCACACAGGAAGGCCAGAGCTTTTTTTTTCCCCGGTAATTATTATTATTTGAGGTATATAATTACTGTTGTGAGCTGCCACTTAGCTGTTGTAAAACCAGAAATTCCCCACAGGCTAATAAACATTTCTTCTATGATCCCTTCAGGTGAGGTTGGAGGAGGCTCAGAGGACGAGGACGAGCCACCCAACTCCGAGGAGCCGGCACTGGACATATGCAGCCCGTGCTCCCTGACCTCCTCCATCGTGGTGCACATCTCTGAGGAGGAGCGTCACAAGTACGAGGAGGAGATCCGGAAGCTCTACAAGCAGCTGGATGACAAGGTGACAAATTTATTGCAGGGGCTACAATTATGCACCGTCAACTGCAGTTATGACTCTCACATAATCCTATATAAGTGTAAATAGGATAGCATATACAGTGTATCCAGCCATATTACATTCTGTTAAAAATTCCACATCATTTCCATCAGTGACGAAAGAAGAAGAAAAAGTGAAAAAAAAACTTTATTCGACATAAATTAAAAATAAAAAAAGCACATGTGCGTCATAGTGAGAGCCGCAGGAGCTCTCAATATTATGTAGGACATCACTGCAAATTCTAACCATAGCAATAGAGCTATTCTTACATTCATGCTAATCTGTCAGACAGTAACAGCTGACCGTTGTTATCTTGCAGTTACCTGTATAGCTCAATAGAAAGAGAAGACGTAGCTAATAAAGTGTCCAGTGAATGTTTTTCTCAATGGGTGTTTATTTTCAACGGTCCTGTTCCGCCATTGCAAATAATATTTCTGCATTCGGTGTCTTTCTCACCGAAGGATGCCGAGATTGACTACCAAAGTCAGATAGTGGAGAAACTGAAGGATGAGATGCTGAAGCAAGAGGAGGTAAAGAAAAAAACAATTCACAGTTTTCAAGTGATGTAATGAGATGTCTGTGGCATACTTTGTCAAAATACCCCAAGGATGAAGAATTACTAGCGCTCGTTTTGAAAGTCAAATGAACCAGCCAAAAAAGTGAGCGCCTGTAAAGACAATTAAATACATTTTATTTCATGGAGGTAGCAATTGATGATGATGATGATGATGATGATGATGATGATGATATAGTTGTTTGAAAGTGGCTCTGAATGTTCCCCCACCCTAGCTGATCATGTCATTGGTTGAGGACCGGCAATTATTATGTAAATGTTTACCAGTTTAACAGAATGTTTACCGATGTTTTTTTGAAGACTTTTTTTTTTCTCAATGGCCGTCAATTATATGCAGATTTTTGCTCTTAATTAACAAGCCAGCCCGCTCTGTATTTTCCGTGAATAGCGGGGTCCACTCTACACCCATCCATTTTCAACACCGCTTGTCCTGAAGAGGGTCGCAGGGGTTGCTGGAGCCTATCCCAGGTGACATTGGGTGAAAGGCGGACCACCCCCTGAACTGGACGCCAGTTCGTCGCAGGGCACTTATAGACGAGTGTACCACTACACGATCAGCAACCACTGTACATATATTTCATTTTCATTCTGTTTTATTCAAGGCACCTGAGCTGTAGGACAACGGAGACAGAGAGAGACCAGAAGAGTCACAGACAGGCATAGATGTGGAAGTGCGAGGAAAATTATTGCTCATAGACCAAAAATGTTTTTTGGTCTATGAGCTCCTTGTTCGATAACAAGTTGCGCAAATGGGCCTGAAACATTGAACAGTTGGACATGTATATTCAAAAATTTAGAGAGGGTGAAATGAAGTTCACCTGTAAAGGTTAGAATACAATTAACAGTAAGTTCATTCTGCTATTTCACCTGAAACATTCCTAACTTTTGTGAATAGATGTCACCTTTGAATACATTTTCAAATCGGAGACACTCGACACTTTTCGACTCCCTTTCACCAAAGTTTAAACCGACATCAAGCGCTCGGCGTCCAAAGTCTCGAAGAATATCAATGCTTCAGTTTTTGCAGCTTTGACAAGCACAACCACAACTCCACCCTGCTTGGGCTTACTAACCTCCCGAATTAACTTCAATTTATATCCATTTGGCCATGCAAACAAGCAGTAAATTACATCCCATATGCATTCATTCAAAGGACTCTCTGCTGGGCGGCAAGCAAACAACACCATATGTCTGTTTGCAGACTGTTAAATGGCTGCGCAATAGTGTTTGCATATAAGGCTCGCCATACGCAGACATGTGCTAAACCGTCTAATTACGCATCATTAATGCTAGCAGGTATGCCTTGTGAATAATTAAGGGCTTTAACTATGCGTTCCAATATAGCAGCGTCTGACAGCATGCTAGAAAAATCTACACAATCGAAACGACACGATAAAAAGTTTGTTTAATATCTTGTCAGTTCTTTGGAAATTAGCAGGAGACCATAGGTTGGTTTCACCCCAAAAAACGTTTTAGGACCAAAAAGTACATAAAACAAGCTTTTTTTGCGACCACAAACACAAGCGAGCATGACAGTGACTTTGCCACTCATATTTTTTTGCTTTTGTGACACTTGAAAATATAAAACATCAGAAACAAGACTAAGAAAGCGCCTGGTGGGAAAATAATTTTTTGGTGATATACAACTATTGTCAGCAATACACCCGCGTATTCAGAGTCCTTGCATAGCTTGCAGAAGAGCTGATCTTTTGAATCAGGTGTGTTGGAGGAGGGAGATCTATAAAATTGGCTGGGTAGGGGCTCTCAATGACTAGACTTGCGCACCCCAGGTTTAGTGTATGACTCGTTTGTACATCTTGGGCTGTTACACATATCAGCCTATTTTCTTATAACTCTGTAAAATATAAGTATTTTTGTCAAGCTTGATCGATGTGCAAAATTCTATGAGTTTTCTGCCAGGTGCAGAGCCTCAAAAATGGCATCTTTTTTTTTTTTTTTTTTTTACTTTTTTGCAAACAGCACATTGCCACAGCAACAGGGTATGACAAAATAAAAAGCTTTGAACAACTTCATATCTTAAAGTCATTCATTGCCAGGGACGTATTTTTATGTCTTGTAAGAATCCAAAACATTCAAATCCAGCTATGTACTTTTACGACTTTTAATTTTTTTTTTTTTTCACTTTAGGAGGGTAAAAAAAGAAGAGTCAGAAAACGGCTTGCCCTAAATGAGCGAATCGTATTTGCACACGTGTAGAACTGATACTGGAAGATCTTTCAAATATTTGTAAAATGTATGTATTTTCAAACATTTCATTTATTTCTCGCTGCGGTGTATATGTGTCGCCCAGTTCCTGGCATCCTCCAGGGATGACGGTGAAAAGGTGCAGTCAGAGCTGGGCCGCTTGCAGTCTGAGAACGAGCGTTCCAAGGCAGAAGTGAAGGAGGTGTTACACGCCCTGGAAGAGCTGGCGGTCAACTATGACCAGAAGAGCCTGGAGGTGGAAGAGAAGAGTGTGCAGAACAAGCTGCTGGCCGAGGAACTTGCCAAGAAAATGGTGGGTGGATACTTTGCACTCACCCCACAATGAGTGGGAGGAAATGTATTGAAAGTTACACTTACTCAAGCTGAGGGAGCCAATGCAAGAGCTGCCTGGGCATGAGGATCAATGACTTTGTGGAATTAATTGTGAGCTAATAATGTCTTTCGGGGAGACTAAACGGAGGTACGCTACTTGGCACTGTTGCTTCATGCTCAAAGACGGTGGTACAGGATCTCACTGGGCAGCAAGTGCTTGTGTTGGTCACAATTTACTGGAATTTTCAACTTTTATAATGAATGTTGGCGAAAATTGTCCCCCCCATTCCTACACACAGAGACACAACCCAGTTGACATATTTTTTTGTTTTGCGGTAAAATGCCTGACAGTGATAAGCACACATCTGCAGTTAAAAGAAAAATATTGGCTTGCCAATGTTATATATTAAAAATATGATTTTATCCATCCATCACAAGAGTCCCGGGGGGTGCTGGAGCCTATCCCAGCCGTCTTCGGGCAGTAGGCGGGGGACATGCTGGACTGGTTGTCAGCCAATCGCAGGGCACACAGAGACCAATAACCATCCGCACTCACACTCACACCTTGGGACAATTTAGTGTTCCATTAACGTGCCAGGCATGTTTTTGGAATGTGGGAGGAAACCGGAGTACCCGGAGAAAACCCACGTAGGCACGGGGAGAACATGCAAACTCCACACAGGAAGCCCGGAGCCGGAATCGAAACCTTGACGTCTGTACTGTGAGGCCGGCATGCTAACCAGTCGACCACCAGGCCGCCCATATTATTTTATAATATTAAAAACATTATTTTCATATCTGGGTCAAGTGCCTCACATGGCCGTTTAATTAATGTTATCAAGAATCTATTGATAGATAAAGACTAAATTGAATTTTTTCCATCGTTAATCAAGAAATTGTAGGTGATTGAATACGCCTAAAGCATCAGTTTGTTTTTTAGGTTGTATTTTGCAGTGGTGTAGAAACACCATATAACACAAAGAGCTCTTCCTAAAAATGTGTCCACATTTAAATTGGCTGTCATTCTGTGGTGCAGCGAGGCGTAGATGAAAACGTTCTCCCACTGAAACTCATTCATCTCGTTGGAAAAGTTTGTTTGCAGCCTGAGCTGTTCTTAATTTGACTTCTCCGCCGCTTATCTCTTCGCAGCCCGCCGAACGCAATTATGAACAATATCCAGCTGCCACGAGAGGAGCCTTTTCTTCCTTTATTTCCACGTAATGAGCAGCGATAGTCGCCCTCATCCCATCACGGTTTAAATCACGCATCGACAAAGGGAAAAGCTCACAACAGGACGTTTCGGTTTGAACGCCACCGCTGCGTTTTGAAGACTCTGATGGATGGGAACGAGTCACAGGCGGTCATTCCTGACTGAGCGTGGGCTATTATTGACAGCAACCCTTTGAATACCTTTTCGAGCTCCTTTTATAAATTCTGCAAAAGATGTCCTCGCTTCAGAATCGGGTGACAACGAGTCAGCCGCATCACTTTTTCTAACACGGTCACGGCATCGCCACCTATTGAAAGTGACATTCATACAGTACACATCACTGATTAGCATTCACGCAGCTCCAGTCTTAATGGACTCAATCTTCCCGGCCTTTTCTTATTTTACTCACCTAATAGGGTTTACAGATAAGTTGTTTTCTTCAGGTCTTCTCCAAATGCTGTGTGTGATATTTTACCTTCAGCAAAGGAGTGCTGGGACTCCATTAAAACAAAGGCAGTGCACTAATTAGAAGCTTAGTTAGGCACACTTTAATTGAGGACATATATTTGATACAACAAGAAGTGGTTTCTTCAATCAAATTATATTTTCGCCAGTGATTAAAGATTCAGGGCAGCATGATGTACAAGTGGTTAGCGGTCTGTCTTTCAGTCAAATGGTTGAAGGTTCAAATCCCTGCTCGGTGGGGTTTGCATGCTCACCCCGTGCAACATGCATGGCGGCTTCATTGACTCGAAATCGACGTAAATGGCCGGCGGGACTGATGACTGATGGCAAGTCAAGGGGGGATTGTCGTCCCTTATCAAAAGTCAGCTTAGATAGGCCACCGGTTACCAACAATTCCATTGAGGATAAGCAGTAATGGACAAGAGAATGGATAGATGGGTTCTCAACACTGTGATTGACTGGCGATCTGTTCTGGCTATACTGCACTTCTCTCACCAAGAGGGAGTTGGAATAGGCTTCAGTTCACAGGCGACCAGAATGAGGACAAGTGCTGTATACATAAGTACAGTATAGAGCACTTATACACTGGATAGGCCTATATTGCAAATATATCGAAAAAACAAATCAAAACAAAATGTTTTACCAAATATTTAGAATTGTTTGAATGTTTAGTCCAGTAGGCTACATTACACTCATATGTTATTCTTACAATTGAGTGAAAATACAAAATTTTGAAAAATGTCATCTTAAAATATATAGAAGCTTGACTTTTTGTATAGAAAACGATGTTCATATATAAGTCTTACAATTAATTGGAAAACAAATACAGTTTGAATCTTTTTTCCAAATAGCTCAAAGATTTCGTTTTTTTATTGTATAGGCCCCTCTTCACCTCATGTAAGTAAAGAAAGTGTATCACATGCATACTGTGGATAAATATTAAGAATATCATTGACGAAAATACCAACGATTTACGTATATATTTTTAAGTCCCTTTTTCCCCCTTGCATTATCCCACTCAGGCTTCTCTCCGTGTCACGCAATATTTTTTAAAATCACATTTTATTATATGCAATATTAATGTGCTCGTCACCAGTATCTCCACCTATCGCTTTCACCTCAGCTGACTCCATCTTGTTCTCACGGGACGTCATCTGGTGTAGGAGGCCTGGCCATCCCTCAGTGTCACTGCCAGTTTGGTGCGCCTCCAATCCGCACCGATGGCCCGATGGCGCACCTTATTCATCATCATCCTAATCTTGCATCACCTTCCATTAATCTCTTCTGTTATCCAGTAGTCTCAATTTCAGTTAATTATCAATCCACTGAGTTTGATTTTGTGTCATGATAAAGGGGGGCAACCTGTAAAAAGACCCACAGTGGAGATGAACTGGTTAAACATTGCTGCAGATGGATGATGATAATGCTTTGGGATGGAGAAAAAAAAGACAGTATAACCTTTTAAATCCATTAATCCTGCCGTAATTGATGCCCAGATCTAGACTAAATGACACGCCATCAATAAAAGGAGGTAGAATGGCCACAGCGAGGCAATAGCCACCCGTTTCCAGCCAGCTTCTTCATCATGTGTGTTGTTGTTTGTTAGGTCAAATCATTTGTTTATTTCCATGTAATTTAGTCCCGAGAGTCCTGGCGCCGCAGCCTAGATATTCCATCAAGTACATGCAATTAGAGCAAGGCCATTGGGTTCTGTAGAGTCAGTTGCATATTTTTCAATTCCTCTGCATAGAACGACTAATATAAGTGCCGTGCTGATGAGCTCAGAGAAGAGTTGAGATGTTATTATGCATCTCAGCTCTAGACAGGACACCCACTGCTGCAATATGATTGGCTGCTGCAAAGAGGCCACAGGAATTAGAAGAACACCTCAATGAACAATATATCCACATGTCTGGCTTATACTCCCCCTACATGGTCAAGGTGAGCACCTTGGAAGGAGCAGCATTTAATTGATTGACATAAATTGTTTAATTCTTTGTGGTTCGATTTAGATGTGTCATGACTAAATGTGGCAGCCCGGTGGACAACTGGTCACCATGTCGACCTCACAGTGCAGAGGTACCGGGTTCGATTCCAGCTCCGGGCTTCCTGTGTGGAGTGTACGTGTTCTCCCCGTGCTTGCGTGGGTTATCTCTGGGTACTCCGGTTTCCTCCCACATTCCAAAACATGCATGGCAGGCTGATTGAACACTCAAAATTGTCCCTAGGTGGGAGTGTGAGCGCGGATGGTTGTTCGTCTCTGTGCGCCCCGTGATTGGCAACCGGTTCAGGGTGTCCCTCCGCCTACTGCTTGAAGACAGCTCGGATAGGCTCCAGCACACCCCGCGACCCTTGTGAGGATAAAGAACATGGATGGATGATAGATGGATGACTGATTGTTTTTATAAGGTACAATACTACGGGGTGATCTGTCATCTCATTAAAACACACATTACAACCCTTTTTGTCGTCACTTTTCAGAAAGCTGGAACAGATTACTGGCATTTCTTTTCATTTCAATGGGAAAAGGCGATTAGCGATAAGAATGCTGCCTGGAGCAGCAGCCAATCATATTGCAATGATGTGTGCTTCATTGAGATGTCTCAGCTCCTTTCTCATCCCATAAATACAGCATATTACGCGTTCTAGGATGAAGATTACATTGTGTCTGCCTAAATGTTGTTTCCGCACTGATTGTGTTCGGTGAGTTGCAGGGTTAAAGCTCCGGCAAAATACATGTAAATTAGCGTTAGCTTTAAGCCAGCTACGTGGTGTTTTACATTCCTAAGGTGTAATTGTCTTTCTTTTATGTTTGGTTTGGCAGTAAACATCAACTGGAAGTGGCAATAAACAACTTGAAGCTTCTTTTTGGAAGATTTGTTTACTCATTGCCGAAGTGCTGTTTGTTGTAAAAGTGTGCTGAGTTGATTTCACTGCCACTGTATAGTGTTCATACTATGTCAAGGCGCCCATGTAATGAGGTTTATGAGATATGTAGGGGCCCCTGGAAATCTAGGGGCCACAGGCAACCGCCACTGTTTGCCTAATGGTATGCCCACCTCTGCGCATCGTCGATCCTGGCTAAACCGCTTCACATCTTTCCCTATCTTGCATGCTTGCAATCTTGATTTTTCTGTTAAGTGGTCATAAACTTTGGCGGTTCGCATTTCTAGGAAGTTATCGCTCTTCATTTTCATTTTCTGGTCCGGTTTCACCGCAGCAGGCAGGAAGAAAAGAAGGACAGGGGAGAGAATTGTGCAGAGAGTATGCAGAGAAATGCCGTAGATGAGATGTTGGCACTCACACTGTGACTGTGATGATAAACATACAATTGTTCACAGCTCCTTGGAACAGTGCTCACGAAAATAATCTTGGGCAGTCAGCCACATGATGCTTTACCTGTCAGGGGTGTCAAATTCATTTTTGTCGTGGGCCACTTTGGAGTTATGTCTTCCCTCGGACGGCCGTTACGACATTGAAACCGAATAAATGTTTAATCATCTCTTCGTATTATTACTTGTACAAACCAAATTGATGGATTACTAGTTTCTAAACCAGTCAACTATTTGTGTGTTGTTTGTTCAATTATTGTTCAGGTGAGTGTAAATAGGACAGCAAAATTATTGCAAAATCTCAACGTTATTTATTACACATGACAATTTGACATTTTGGGACAGCTTTTAGCAAGCATCATCAAAGTTGACACACATGATTTGCTTCCGCGGGCCACATAAAATGATGTGGCGGGCCGGATCTGGCTCCCAGGCCTTGAGTTTGACACCTGTGCTTTACCATGTCTAAAGACATGATTAACTGATCACATGTAACATGCTCTGAAAACTTCCCAACTGCAACTGTTAATATTAGAACGCATAATAATGTAACAGCAATAATGACAAGAAAAACCATAATCCAGTACCACTAGCAGTAGAGGTAATGGTAATTATATCGATAATTATATCAGCATCATCTCTCTCTCTCTCTCTCTCTCTCTCTCTC